TATTTGTCTTTTGAAATGGATTTAGACTGATGATTTATACCTTATTTCAATTGAAATAGCTTGATAAATGTAATGTACTCTGCTTTGCCGTTCGCAGGTTGATTCTGTCCATAAAGGGTACGACGTTTGTTTGTTTGAAATAACAAATATACCTAGCGAATTAGATCCAAAATAATTGTAAATTTTTATTAAAAAAACCATCTCAAAAGTTTGTGGAATTACATAAGAAATCGGTTACCGGAACCGAACCAAAACCGGATTCATCCCCTAGTTTGCCACCCTTAGAGGTGGAATATTTTCTTCAAATTTAAATGGGACCATTACTGAGGTACCCTCTTTCCAACAAAAATAGAATCATCAATCGGTTCACAAATTATCATTAACTTACTTACAAAAAATTCAATCGAAATGAGAACCTCCTCCTTTTTTTGAAGTCGGCTAAAAATAGTTTCATTTCTTATGCGTAACAATCGCGAAAACCTTAGAACTGTAAGTAATTGTACCTGTTTTGAATTAACTTATAATAATACTTTGAAACAAGCACACTGTTTGTTACAGACTCACAGGTCACCCTTTGTTTAATGTAGTTCACATGTACATTTATTTAGTTTGCTGCACTATTGTTTGTTCGCACGTCATCGCGATACGTACTGCATCCCTCGTTCTTTTGCTCTTAGTGGCTAGTAATTTTTCATTCGTCGCCGCAGGAATTTACATATTGTCTCTGTTCTTTACAATATTCTTCATAACCCTTCGTCTCCCGAGTATCTGAAAGAGCGTTTTAGCTTTCTCAGATCTTAGGAGATCAGGACAAACTCTGTCGCTCTCTCGTTAGGTCCCAGTTTTCTTTTCTTTCCTTCAATTTTGGTTTTTATTCTCACCCCTTCACTGTTCATGCGGTCAGACTTTGGGACGCACTTCATATTTCTTTTCACGAAAGTACATCGTTAGCTATTTCTACATTGAGAGTTAAGGAGCATTGTTTATCTACTGTTCCATCCATTTTATAGGTATTGTATTATGAAATAAATACATATTTCATCTAGGTCTAGTTTATGATAGTTTAATGTTATTAATATTGTATTACGTAATTTAATTACATAATTTTACATTAAAACTCTGGTAATTATAGTACAGGATATTCCGTAGTTTGAGACCAGGTCATTGTTGTGGTTGTTTGGCTCATTATTATTATTATTAATTATATTTTTATGAAAACAAATTCTTTAGACTCGTTACTACTTCACTTAGTTCTTAGCTCAAAACAAAATTTATCGAATGACCGAGACACTGGCTTTATTTCAGATTTTTTTTTTACAAACGAAAGTAAAGCTATGCCTTCTTCTTCTCCATGTGCCATCTTCTAATGAAGGTCGGCTATCATGATGGCAATCTGAACTTTGGACACTGCAGCTCTGAATAATGATCGAGTGCTCCTATAGAACCACTGGCGCAAATTTCTGAGCCAGGTGTAGGAAACACCTCTCTTTCCTTGTATTTTGCCTTGTAAAGCCATTTGAAAAATAATATAATATAACGCACACACTCAACATACCTACCTGGGAAACCCTGTATCGCGGATGCCATGGACACACACACACAAACAACCACAAATTACACTCAAACTCACGAGAGAAATAAATGTAGGCCATACAAATCTGGGACCTCTGCGTGACAATTCGGCATGGTAACCGTTCGGTCACAGAGGCGGTTAAAATGTATATCATATACCATACGTGTTCTATTTAGTTGAGTTGATATAAATAAAATAATCTCGCTTCTTGCCCGTTGTATATGTACCTATTGATTACACAGTTATCTTGTAAAATTTTGAGGTAAGTTAGTGATTTTTTCTAACGTGAAAATTGTCAGGAATCGTGTTGTCACACCATACAGAAATCAGCTTAGAATAATAACGCATAGAAACCTAGTCCGCACACGCTAAGTGAGGCAAATTGAAGCGCTCCCAATGGGCTTACACAGCTCAAGAATTTTAGCTAAAAAAGACGAAATGTTCATTAAATGAGTGTAAAAATACGTCAGACAAACATGAAATAGATACTAACATCACATTTCACAAGGAAGTAACGCGTTTCAACTTGTATTTTTATATAAATATTCACTAAAACCGAAAATGAACCTACTACCAAAACTAGCCTACATAAATTTGATTTTTTGCCTCACTTGTGACAGTTCGTTTGATATGAAACTATCATTCTATGCGTTATTATTCTAAGGGAATCAGTATATATCCTCAATTTCACTATATTTTTTTCCAAAGTTCTATAGACTATATGTTAAGATACGTACTGCAACGCCAGTGTAGGCCTCTATTCAAAAACAATAAACAATACCAAATCGTGAGCAGATAGATGTATTCATGTAGAGGGAGGATGTCGGCGTTCATCTCAATACAACCAGTACACAATGTATTGCGTAACTTCCTGATACAAACTGTCGTCTTTTAAGCCATCAGAATATAGATAATAAGTCATAATATACTAAGTAACTAGCCAGGCGTCTGAGGCGTAGAAACTATTAGTTGTATCCATACATTTGGTAGCAGTAGAGCACCGTATGAAAGCGTAACAAGCAGACATAGAGCTACTTTCGCATTTGTAATATGGTCGGGATAGAACGATTACGCGTAACTAGCACACGTTATGAAGTTGCCATTTCGGTATGTTAGTGGCCAAACCAAATCCGCGCAAACGTCGTGGCAACTATAGTCCATTTGTTTAGGTACTTAACTAAATGTAAACAATCTTGATACATTTTTATTGAAACACATGCTTTACAAATCAATAGGTATAAAAAAAGGCATGCAATTTCATATGAAGCTAAGCATTTGTATTTTGTATTTGAAGGTAAGGGAAAATCATTTTATAAATGTATATTTCATTAAATAGACATCTCAAGATTGTTTACATTTATTTAAGTACCTAAACAGATGGACTATAAATTAGTCTGATTTACTGGAATCTATTGTTATCAGTCCGTAATTAACATAAATTAATACTTACTGTGCAAAAGTGAACGTCGTAGCCATTGAAATAACAAAGTATTAACGTTTAAACCCTCTCCTGTAAAATTTGATCTCGTGAAGATACGTGCCTTTGCACTATCCCCGACGATATTGGTTTGGATTAGTTATTTTTTATTTATTTGGTTTACAACAGCTATTACATTGTGACTTATTTATTTACTAAGTAAAGCTCTCCCCTCCTACAAATGCGAAATTCCTGGTACTCTCGTGGGCAATCTTCCCACCAGACTGTGGGTAAATTTTATGGCAAAATCCAGCCTGATCTACCCTCTAAACCTTGGCTTTAGGGAATCGATTCCGAAAAATATTACCTCCGCAATCGGTTTCGCTTAGCTTTCATATGTTCTCCTGTGTTCTTGGCTAAGATAGTGACCGAGTGCGAGTGTGATGTAGCAGAAGGTTCCCTCGAGCACCTGTTTTTTGACTGTAATCGTATCGTCACTCCTCTGTATGATATCCTCCCACCTAAAATCCGCCGTCCGGTTAATATCAATTTCCTCCTAACGTTAGTCCATTCTCCCTTTGTGAATGTGCTGTGTAAATTTATTTAAAAAAAAAAAAACAATTTGTTTATGTACCTAATAGTCTGTGTAGGTTCTCTGTCGTTGTAGATTTGTAGACACTCACTCTCAGTGAATTCTGTCGAAATTCGCTGGTCTATTTTTGAGTAAACTCCTCAACTTGATCGATTACTTCGACGGTGCCATAAAATTTAAAAAAAGAAGAATGATTTTTGGTTTTAAATTAAATGCACAGTTAATTACAGGTAAACACCGCATGCAAAAAAAGGCAAAGGAACTTTAAACATTTAACTTAACTATATTATTAGAGACAATAACCAATAACTACCTACGTTTATACAACAAAATGCTATTTTATTTTATTTTAATATTTTTCAAAAACAAAGTCAGACGATCTGCATGTATGTCCAAAAAGTTGCAAATTCTGTATGCTGTAAGAAGTGGGCAAAGTGGTTGGATAGAGTATTTAGGAGTATCTATGAGGCACTCTAAATCTTATTTGGCTTAGTAGAATCGGATTTTACGAATTTTCTAGAGTTTCTTCATTTTCAATTCGAATGGCGAAAATTTATCATAATAAATGTTGATTAGAATAGAATATAATAAATTTCATGTTATCGATGTCATAGTCATTTAAAATATAATAGACGTTAACATAAACAATTATAGTTTATATAAAACAAAGTAGCATCACAATTTAACACAATAGACTCGAAATACTAAACAAATTCCTGTAATTAGTAGAATTTATTATACCTGTAATGAATTCTACTGATATGAAGTCACCACACTTATTAATACGCAATGGGCGGTCAGGAAAAGCTATACCTAAGATCTATGCAATAAAAAGAAGTTGCGCGGTTCATTTTCGCTTGGACCTCTGACGCGAAACGCAGAACGTCTTTTAAAATAAATAAAATAAAATAAAAATACATTTATTTCTCCACAAAACATAAGAAACAGAATGCTTAAAAAATGAATAGAAAAAAACAACTGAGTGACGTGGACAAAAAGGTTAAAACGACTCGAGAGAGAATTTCAGTCTTCACTTGTTTTACGCTCTTAAAAAGTCATGTTTGACGTTTATTGCGTTAAAAAACTACAGAACAGTGACCTTATTATGTAGTTCAATTAATCCCATTTGAAGAAACCATCTCAGCTCTAAGGGTGGCAAACTAGGGGATGAATCGGGTTTCCCGCTCTTTTCGGTAACCGATTTCAAAAAACTTGGCAAATATGTAATTCCACGAGCGTTTGAGGTCGGTTTTTTATAAAAAGGTTATAATTATCTTTAGTTATATTTGGCCAAATGACAGTCTCTTTGACGCACGTAATTATTCAGCAAAACATGAAAGAAATATTTCTCAGATTAGGCAATGGCCGTCTTTTGTCGCGTTCATTTTCTTTTCACTAAAGATCTCTTTTCCTTGCAGAACCAGTGGATCCAACATGATGCATATGTGGATGTGGTTCGGCTACGACCTGGGGGAGTTCATGTTCTCCGGGTTGCAAATCAGTTCGCGATGGGCGTTCGCACTAACATGGATTGTGCTGTTTTTCTCAGCGCTGCTCTTCGAAGCTTCTAAGGTTGGTTTTTATTTTATAAAACCAAGTGACGGCACAAATATATCGTGCGTCTGATGGTAAGCGACACGCATATTCATAACAGTTGAAGTGCCACTCTGACCTTCAAATCGCAAAGATCTTAGGGGCACTGCCACTGCGCACGTCACCCTGACACATAAGTTAACAAATCCCATGTGCCTGTAATTTCACTAGCACCCTTACCCTTCTAAACCGGAACGCAGTAATGCTCACATTACTGTTTGGCGGCAGAAATGGGTAAGGTGGCAGTACTTCCCCGGACTCTTTCACAAGGAGTTCTACTGCGACTAGATAATGTCGACGCTTGAAAGGTAAAATGGGATAAGCGACACTTTTGTTCAAATTAAGTTACATATACCGTTGGAATCAGTTAATGTTTTTGATGTATTTATTCAAGCGTCGATGTAATGTTACCTTCCAATCTTAGAATAATAACGCATAGAAACCTAGCCCGCACGCGCTAAGGGAGGCAAATTGAAGCGCTCTCAAAGGGCCTACACGAGCGGGCGGGCCGTCAGTGCTCAAGGTCAACTTGCACCGCGAACAGATCAAGAATTTTAGCTAAAAATGACGAAATGTGCGGTAAATGAGTGTAAAAATACGTCAGACAACATAAAAAGGATACTAACATCACATTCCACAAGGAAGTAACGCGTTTCAACTTGTATTTTTATATAAATATTCACTAAAACCGAAAATTAACCTACTACTAAAACTGGCCTACATGAATTTGATTTTTGCCTCACTTGTGACAGTTCGTTTGATATGAAACTATCATTCTATGCGTTATTATTCTAAGTTTCCAATATCTAAACTCAATTTAAGTAAACTCTATTGCTCATTCATAAGGCAGATTCCCCTAAATAAGATGAGTAAGAAATTTCAGAGGGTGCTCTTTGTAAATAAACATTAAATTTATCATTATAAATTATTTATCATTTAAAATATGATAGATTAAAAGGACTACGATAAACAGATCACTACCATGGATTTTTGTCATTCAAGTACGCGGAAGCTGTATAATAAATAACATTTATTATAGTCTAAAGTTTTTGTTTCACTGTAGTTTTAAACCTCGCTTAGGCAAATTTTGAATATCAATCGGAATCTTATTATAGAAGCGTATATGTACAATTGTGCCTGTTAAGTGTAGAGGGCTGGTTACTTATTGTTTTTGTAATTTAAATTAAAACAAAATTCTTGACAAATTAAACGCGGTATATTTAACACAGGCAAGAGACGAAAGGTACAGATTAGAGGTGGGTGATAAATAACGTCACGATGAAAAAATCACGGTGATCCCCCGTCAAACAGTATCACCGTGACTCGTTCCGAAGGAACGACGTTCCAAAGTCACATAGGTGTTCCTCCGTTCCAATAGCTATCCCCGTCACTCACATCACGACATACGTATTTGATAAAATGCGCGATCTCCGTTCAGTGGTGACTGAGCGCGCCACTCGTTGTAGTTCTCTTCAAATCGGGCTATTTCGGCGATGGGAGTGAAGGAAATAGGATGACTTTCTTTGCTCATTCACAAGGGTTGTAGGTGCTTATACTACTAGAAAGGGCGGATGAAAAAAATATGCAGCAGTTATTATAAACCTATTTATGAACAAAGTAAAATATTTTTGTAAATTTGTTTTATTATAGGAAGAGTTGATATTTTACATTTATGTATAATCTACTTTGTGTGTTCTACTAGAAATATAATTACATTACTCTTTATTGCTATTTTTTACAATCCAAAGTTTCGCATTAAATAAGTAACAAATAAAATTACATTAAATACAAAATCAACTTTTTGAATGAAATTGAAACTTACTACAAAGGGAGTAAAAACTTAAATCATTCTATAAAATACGGCTATAAGTATTAGAAAGAAGCCGCTGGCTAAAACCGTATATCGTGATGTAAGTTATAGGCGTGACAAAATCACGATGATTTATCACTGTGATTCTTTTGGAATCGGAACGACAGTCACGGCGATAGAAATTTAACGCTATTCCCCATGTCTAGTACAGAGACAATTTTGACAGCAGTGAAATTTATACAATGACTTAGATTTACATATATTCAGCCTAATTTAAAGTTGTTGAAAATTGTATTTATTCCAATATATTGATATCAAGAACCGGCTAAAAATAATATAAAGTATTCAACAGCGCCGTTAATGAATTTGTAACAATGTTTGCAGTTTATTTTTATTCCTCATATTAATGTTAGTTTTATCACTATTTTTCATTAAAAAAATACTATTCCTCTTAACATTAATTAAATGTACTGTACTTTAAATTTCTTTCTCAAGACACTATTGTCCTGACCGCACGTTTTTGCCGGACACAGTTCCTTATTAATATCGGCGACATTACCCAAAGCAATATGCTGCATGTCCCTAAACTGTGAAACTAGATGCTATAACCAATCTAGCGGTTTGTACGTCTCAAAATTTTCGAATTTTTTTAATCGCTCACACTGCAGTGTTGAGCCATAAGACCTTGATGTCCAATTTCATGTTCAAAGTTGTGATGTAAATAAATTTCGTTGTCGGCAAAATTGTAATTTAAGTGTCATGTAAGCGAAAATATAGTAATGACGTCACGGAATAGACAACCAGCCGCCATTCGCCATATTGAGAACAAAATCTCCTTACATAAGATACACCATACCTATCGACCGGGAATGGTTCTATCGACCGGGAATGGTTAATGCCATTCCCGGTCGATAGGTTGATAGGTTGCCGGTCGGAAAAAAATTTCATCATCATCATCATATTCAATCAACATTAGCCCACCGCTGGACTTAGGCTTCTTCTTTATTGCTCCAATTTTCTCGGTCCTGCGCCATCCGCATCTAGCGCGATCCCGCAAACCTAATGATATCGTCAGACTATAGTGAGAAATTAAGGCCATGACTAAAACACTTGAAGAAAAGGGACTGAAGGTTGGTCTTAGATTTAGTCGAGAAAAGACGGAGTATTTCCACAAGTGCAAGTACAAACACACGAGGACACGTAGAAAAGATCTGATCGTGAATGAAACTATCTACAGAGGACTGGATAAATTTAAGTATCTTGAATGCACAGTGGCCAATACCAACCAGAGGCATTGACAACCAAATAAAAAATCCAAAACGCACTGAGCTATTTAGCATCCCTTAACCAAATCTTGGTGTCCAAGCTAATTATTAGGAGAACTAAGATTCGGGTCTATAAGACAGTTATTAGACCAATCCTGCTAAATGGGTGCGAAACCTGGACGCTAACGTTGAAGGAGGAGAACAAGGTCTTAGTGGCGGAGAGGAAAATCATCAGGAAGATTCTGGGACCAACTAGGGAAGAAGATGGAGCCTGGCGGTTAAGGAAAAATCTGGAGATCGAGAATCTAGTAAGCGAGGCTAACATCATGGGAGAGACCAAGTTAGCCCGACTTGGCCACGTCGAGGGGACGAAGATCATGCAGTCAAGAGAGCATATCTGGGGCTGTCGAGTGGCAGAAGGCCGGTTGGACGTCCTAATTGTCGCTGGATCGACCAAGTCCACAATGACCTGTGTGAGCTTCAAATCCGATTGAAAACAAGCGGCACAGAAGAAAGAAGAATGGCGCTTCATAGTGTCGGACGCCAAGATTCACTTTGGGTCGCGTGTGATCGTCTACTGGCTTTTTCGCTCTTCATGAGCACAATATGTGATGCTTTAGTCCATCGTCCATATTATCTAGCCCCGCACAATGTCCCGCTCATCAGCGCCGGGTCTAGCTCATGTAGTGCCCGGGTGCCTCGCAGCCCCGCCCTGTCGTGCCTCTTAAGTCTCTGCACCCATGTGCGCTGTACATCCATAGGTAAAGCTGGCACTGCTGCCCATCTCCACCTTAACCTTGTAATGGAATTACCACGTCATCGATCTTCGTATTTCGAAAATCATTCTACAATAAAAAAATCATTTTAGAAAGCAACGTCTTTTTCGCCCTTATTGCGCTTTTTCTGACCGGCTCAAGCCGATGCTTATATTATAAAGGAATTATAATGAATTCTAGTAATTATTGGAATTTCTTTAGTATTTTAACTCAATTGTGTATTCAATTGTGATGCTATTTTGGTTTTATACAAACTGCCATTGTTTAATAGTTAACAATGTTATAACTTAGCATTGTATTTTAAATGGTAATACTTACCACCGATTATGCCGGATGCCAGGTGACTTGTCTATTCCGTTACATCATGATTATGTCGTCACTTATCTTATAACACTAATGGATGTAATTTGCGTATTGCCAACTTTTTATTTTGATAATATACAGGTAAGGTACAATACAAGCTTAAATACTAGAAAGTGAAACTAGGATTTTTAAATTATATCAATAAAATTGGGTCCCCGCGGCAATGTGCCCAAGACACTGGCAGCATTCCCTTGTAGCTGCCGGCCCTTGGGTTTCCCAGACAGTCTATTATTTTTTTGGATAAAATTATGTACAGATGAATAGCACTGGGACCCACGGGCAAATAATATATGCTATTTATAATTTGACGAAAATCAAATTCGTGAAAAATTGAAAATGACTACGGTGATAAAACCGAAAAAACCCAATACAAAAGATCTATAACAAAGCCCTTCCTAAGATTCTGCTTTAAACGACACGAAAGAGAGGGTGTGTATAGGCAGTCTATCCACTGTTTACTGAAGATAGATAACACTTGTCTCAGTTTTAGGGATATGTTTAAAAAATTGATAATTACTAACGAGCGAAGATAGCTATCTATCTTCAACCACAGATCGAATATAGTGAACGGCCGTTAGAGGAATTCGTACGATATGTACCTCAGTTTTTAGAGCGTTTACCCTGGTTTGGCACAGACGCAGGTTCGTGTCCTGCCAGATCGAGGGCTTTTTTTGTGTTCGATTATTTGTATTAATAAATAATGAGTTTAGTCAATATTTATGTAATTTGTTTACCTATATGAAATATAGATTATTTGAGTTTGATCCCACAAAGAAATTTAGCGCATCGTGATCTTAGCGGTTTGCACTGTATGCTCAAGATGAAGAGGTTCCGGGTCCGTTTCCCGAGAAGACCAAGTTGGGAATCAAACTTTTCTAAATTGGTTCTGGTCTGGGAATTCGGCGTAGTATTCTTATATCTATGCGTGGTACAAACTCACGAGAGAAATAAATGTGGGCCATACAAATATTTCTCCCGGCCCGGAAATCGAACCTGGGACATCTGCGTGGTAGTCCGGCATGATAACCGTTCCGCCACGGGGGCAGTTTTCTCTCTGGAGCACTTCCCAGAATATCCAGACCAGAACCAATTTAGAAAAATTCATTGTTCAACCAAGAGGTGGAGACCGGGAGTCCTAAGATACAGGATTTTCCTAGTTTAGGCGCCTGCCTCTCTCAATGCTTTTTCTACGCTCTGTTCCCTTGCATTTAAAAAATTATTGTGGGATAAAATAAACAAATACAAAAAAATATTATTTCCCAAATTGGTCCTACTGGGAATCGAACCCTCCTCATCCAGGTCCACCGAGGTCATCACACTTATTTACACTCTTAATACGGGTAATTCCATAGTTTGAGACCAGGTAGTTGGTGTAGTTATCTGGTACATTTATACAATTTGAAACTGATTGCAGATATTTTAGCGTAGTATATTATACATTATATTTTGGTTTTTTTGCTTTTTGTCAGTTTTGTCTTATTTTATGTAGATTTTTTTTGTTTTATTGTATTTTTTATTATGTTTATTAAATTCTTTTTATTTTGTTTTGCTTGTCTGTGTTATATTTTTTTTATATATGTGTTGTGGCGTTGCAATAAATGTATATTCTATTCTATTGTAATTTATCCTGCTTTACAGAGAGTTGTTTTTACGTTGCAAAGTCTTGGATATAATTGTTATACTGCATTTTTATTGGCAGGTATACCTGGCGAAGGTCCAGCGGGATGCACACAAGAAACTATACCCGTACCGGTCTGACGAGAGGAGGAACCTGCTTTGTTCCGATCGGTAAGACTCTTTATGTAATACATGAAATGTACCTGAGCTATTTTAAGGTCTATGCAGAGGTCGAGCGTATTATATAAAATATAGAGAAGGAAAACTGATTTGATAATCATTATTTATATAAAGCTTTTAAATAAACGTGCTTGTAATAGTACGTTATTGCAGAGATCGGGAAGTAAGGGATTGCTGGACGAGTATGAGTTACAAGGACGAGCTACAGCAAGGCCTTCTATTAATGCGAGTCAAGCAATCCCTTATTCCGGCGAGGCATGTATAGAATTTTTCTCAAACTATGTGAGGAAATAAGAAAAGACTAAAAGAGGACAGAAAAAGTAATAAAAATATTAATTAATATTAAAAGTTATTTGACGTATTAGGACAATTGCTAAAACAATATATTATTGTTTAAACACATTAATAATAGTTCGCTGAACTTCTGGTGATGTGTTTGAATGTGTATCTATTACTGTATTTTCGTTATTGCTCTTCTCGTTAGCCTTCATTTTCGCGGCCAAATACAAAAAAAGAGACGAAGAAACAAAATACTTTTATAAGTTACCGCCATTTTAATTTTTATTTTTTTTAAGTAAGCGGTACAGATAGGTATTTTTAATTCTCACCATTATGAACACTGGGCAGTTGGCTGTATGAGTTTTTCTTTCGCCTGTTTACATAGTTCATTATTAGTAGGTAGATTTAAAAGTTTAGAGAATAGGACAGTAATGGATTTTCATAGTTATTTTGCAGGCTTTGGCCGGGAAGAAACCGCATGGTTCATAAATAACAAACTTTCCGTTTTCGTTTTTTGAAAGTAATGCAAACATTTCCGAGCATGTTTGAGAAAAAGGACTTTTCACTTAAACGCATTTTACTTTTAAGGTTACTAAATTGTTTCGAAAAACGTTTAAGCCCATTATTATTAATACAAACATCGAACAGATAGAAAAATGTCTTCGACCCGGTGGGACTTAAACCTGTGGCTCTGTTGGTAAGAGCAATGCTACGGTGCAGCATGGCCGTGGGTTCAAGGCCCACCGGGTCGATGCAATTTTTCGATGTGTTCGATCTTTGTGTTAATAATCATAAAAATCTAGTAGACTTATTTTACAGAAAAATCTCAATAATCCATAGACTTTATGTTAAGAAAAGCTGGCAACATTATGTTGACGGCGAAAAACGAGAGTAGGCCACTAAAATTTTGAGATAAGTAGGTTGATTTGTTAAACACAAGTTTTTTATATTTCCCAATAATACTCAATCTTTATTGCATTCCTAAAAGTGGACATACTGTATTGTCTTCTTGTAAAAAAAAAAATATTTCTTGTATAGTTTTTAGGGGTTCTATTTTGTTGTTGAAATGTTTATTAATTTGATTCAATAAGTACTTGGTACTTGGTGCAACGGGCTGGTATCCGCAACTCGACGACAAAGCGTCTATTTTGCGCCTATTCAATAAGTAATTGAAATGTGTATTTTGCTGTGTCCTACCGGGTCCCAAACCTCTAATTTTAGCGTTTCCATCTGCTACATTGTACTCTTTTGGGAAAACAATAAATATTGTGTATTGAGTATATTGATATCATAGTTATTCACATTGACGAATTAATTTGTTTGAGTACCATAGATGGCGGGACTTGACTGTTAGGCACAATGTAAAGAATTAAATTATTACGTATTGAACTGAGCAACGCTTACAATTTAAAATTATAAGCGTGCTTGTGTGCTTATATTAAAAAGCAAACTTTTTAAAGTGTTTTTCGTTTACACGCCCACCTCTAGTTCTATACCTGTGTCGTTTATCAATAATGGATGTTATTTACAATGTTGACGGTAAAAAGTTATAGGTATACATAGTTGTGTTCAAAATTTAATGTTCTATCTCGATGATCCCAAAGGGTCTAATGTCGACCCATTGGGTTTCTCTCCAACTTGTAGGTTGGAGAATATAACGTTAAAGGGGCCACGAGAGTGTTTTACCGGCCTAGTTATTACCTAGTACGGACTCGAGTCTCTTTGCTTAAGGTAGTCAATTTTCAGGCCAATTTATCTGATAAACAGAATTATAAATCCCATAGATGGCGCTACGACTAAAAAGACGTTGAAAAAACCAAGTACAAAAGATACGACGCAAACACATAGAAAAATTCGTGAGGTCCGCTGGTTCGTTCCGCGGCTTAGTTGGTATAGCGTCTGACACGGTTTCTGAGTGTTTTATCTTTGTATTAATAATTATAACAAACTAGTGGAATAATTTCACAAAAAAATAATTGAAATCAATTTGATTAAAATTTAAAATTATAAAATTTAGAATTTACAAGGTAAATTATTATTCCAGATTATCAAGATTGGCACAAATTAAATATATTTCAAACAAACTAAGGGTCGTATTCTAGAACTCTACTCAATGCTCAAGTCAGGATTGGAGTATGGTTTAAAGCACTCAAAATCATACTCAAGTCCCTGCCATTAGGGTCGTGTTTCCAGTGCTTGTGTTTCCAGTGCAATCCTAACTTGAGCATTGAGTACAGTTCTAGAATACGACCCTCAGATAGTTCACACACTCTTGTTCACACTTTAGTCGCAGTATAACTCCTTGTGAAAGAGTTCGTCCAGGGAAGTACTGCCACCTTACCTATTTCTGCCGCCAAGCAGTAATATAAGTATAACTGCGGTCCGGCTTAGAAGGATAAAGGTGCTGGTGAAACTACAGGCACGTGGGACTTGTCTATTTATGTATGTCTCAGGGTGACAGGCGCTGAGTGGCACTGCCACTGTTATGGACAGGCATGTTGCTTACCATCAGGCGCTTGTTCATTCCGTCACTTGATACTATTAAAAAAAAGTGGAGCTATGTAACTTCTGTAACTTACAAAACAAATAAAACTCAAAATTTTAAATGATTCTTTGTTGGTAAGTCAATGATTCTATAGATACTGAAAAGTATCAAAGTATGTCTGTTATTCCATCGTGGACAAAACAAGATAACACCGAAACGCCTCTTTTATAATTATCATTGACCATAATTATAACGTTTTTGTAATAAAAAAAACCGCTCTCAAAAGTATGTGGAATTACATACATATATTTGCCAAGTTTTGTGGAAATCGGTTACCGGGAAGTGCGCGAAACCATATTCATTCGTTACTCTGCCACCCTTAGGAGTGGAATATGTTTTTTTATGGGACCAGTACTGAGGTACTCTCTTTCCAACAATCATCAAATTCGGTGCACAAATGGCGGCTGGAGTTATCGCGTAACATACATACTAAAAAAATACAGTCGAAATGGGAACCTCCTCCTTTTTTTGACGTCGGTTAAAAATACAATTACTTTTTTAAGGGTCCAGTATATTATTACTCCTATTGTTTACGTTCAAGTGGAAACACGCCAGACAATATTGGACCAACTATAAATATCATCGACTCTATGTATTGTGTATTACTTGCTTGGTGTTTAGGTAAATTTCGATTAATTCAGGTGTCTTACCACTGTTTAACTTATTACTTAACTGGCTTGCCTAAAAAATGATTAGTTTAGTTGTAAATTTCGACAGGAAATATCTAACATTTCAACATTTGCTGCCTATCATTTACATCGGCTTACCTTTTTCAAATGTCTACCCTCCGCCACTGCTGTTTTGAGACCGTTAGTTCTGGGTATGGATATATAGACACTAGGAATGCCGCAGACGTCTGCATCTGCATCCGTAACTGCGGATCAACCGCATATTTGTAACTATCTGCTTCGTCCAGATCGAATGAATCGATCTAGAGTTTTTGCGGACACCGATGTTTTGCAGGTTACGATAAGATCGTCGGAAGCAGGGCCTAGTTAAGGCGCGTGCTGAATACTAGTGCTAATTAGCCTATCAGGGATCGAGAATACGGCAGTGTTTAGTGCAGGGTGCAGGCAACGGCCTGTTTGTTTTTAAAACAAAAAATATTAAGTTTACATTGACTTCACATTCAAGATTGCCCAGATCTAGTCGCATAAAGGACGGCACACGGTATGATCCACATTTACTTATACGGGATATTTTTTTCATATTCCGCATCTGCAAGATGTAAATATCGCATCCGCAATTCCGCATCCACATCTGCAGATGTCATCACATCTTCGGCATCCCTGATATACAGTCACAAGTAGTTGCATTTAATATTTTTGGCTGACATCTATCATCTTCGTTGCTCTGCTTCTGCAAACATCCTTGAAGATGGTAGATAGTTTAGAAGCATAAGATAATTTGAAATTAAGATTTTTATTAACATAGTTTGAAATTACTAATATACTCCGGTAATAGAACAGTCGTACGTGGCGTACAGCTTTCTGTAATTATGCGGAACGGCTTCCAGTGTGGCGTCCCCGCCACAAAAAGTCTATATATTATTATTACATAAATTCATATTCGTTTGACGCTGTATTGATTAAAAATGGGGGTTCGAATTATTGAACGATGAAAAGCGCTTGATGATCAGCGACAGCTGTTCACTGATACAGTCAGCCCACGGGAATCTTGCACATTGATACATTGTTCGTAGTGTTATTGAACACAAATAACACAATGTTTACTTGACTACTTTCTACGCAACAATTGAGCGGCGGCTATTGTTCGAGTTTGTTTTTAAAACGACCACGGTGGTCCGTCAACACTGATTAATATTTACGATTTTTTATGTACGAGAACGTTCTACGACATTTATAAATAATAAATATTTTATTCAATAGCAAAATGTCGGTGCAGTTTAAATACATACGGAAAAATATATTTTTTGTCCTAACAGTGTAAGGGCGATGACTCAGGCTCAATTTACATTGCTGCGGAATGGAATGGAAGTAAACTTTTGTAACCATAGCATAATGAACTTTATGTCAATTGTGTAAAGTATAAACAATACAAAAGTAAGTAGCAGTGGAGCTCCTTATGAAAGAGCTCATCCAGGGAAGTCCTGCCACCTTACGTATTTCGGCCGCCAAGTACTTATTACTGCGCGAGCATTACTGCG